TATAACTTGAATGTGTTATTTCCTCGAGTTGTTCAGGTTGTTCGTTTTCCAGCTGTCTAATGCGTTGTTGGATGGCTGCCATATTGACATTTTCCATGGAATGAGCATCAAATCCAGGTTTTTCAAGAGCAGCTGTTTTAGTTGTAGGTTCAGACAGTTTGTTACTAGGTGCAGCATACCAATCATTTTCGAGAAGACTCTCTCTGAGCTTGATTTTGTCCATTGTACCTGCAAATAAACAGTACCATCATTATTATATATCATACATGACATCTTGGCAATTGAACCAGTAAGTTGGGCTTGCAGGTGTGCCGAGGTAGTTACCAATTTGTACATTTAAAAAAAAATCTAATGCGGGTTCTTTACCTTGACTTCTTTTAACATGAAGGGGAATTGTCTTTGAAGAAAGCATATCCAAAAGCTTTTCCACATCCTTATTAACAGCAGTAGAAACTGCAGATTCCAAGACTTGAATGTTTTTGTTCCTTCGATATTCGAAATCTTTAAACCACTTATCAAGGTTAGTCATATTGTCGGCAGCAGATACTGGTGTGTTAAAAGCCGAATCTCCATCCAATGCTGTAGGTTCGTCATTCTTTTTGAACCACCCAAGTTTCAACAAATTCTCCTGAATTTTCAACTTATCTACCGATCCTAGAATACAATATCACACAAAATTTTATTTATAAAATGGCAGAAAATTGCCATTTCCTAGCCCCCATTGCAAACTAGAGAGTGGTGCTGCGTGTTCAGCTTATCAGTTTGGTAATGGAAATGAAGGTTAGCTAACCTGTGGTTGAAAACAAGCGGGCAGTACACTATTGTTGCAGAAAAATAATGTATGGAAATTTTGAAGTACAATATTATGGAAAATTAAATATACATGCATCTGATCAAAACTTACCCTGGTATTTGCTAGCTTTCGTTGGTTCTTTCTTTGAAGCCAGCATGTTCAGTAGTCTCTCTATGTCGTTCTTAGGTTCTTGCATGTTCTCCAGTTTCCCATCCATTCCCATGCCCGATGTTCCATCCTCTTTCTTCTGGTTGAATGGAGGTTTGCTTGCTTCACATGTATCACGCTTTACTGCAGGCACAGCAAACCATCCATGTTTTAGCAAATTTTCACGAACGTTTGTTCCATCAACCATTACTGAAATACACAGCAATTC